ATGGAAATTGTTATATTGGTGAATGTCTTGTTGTGTATCTTTTCACCACAATAAAAGTGTTTTTTTTTTTTTTTTTAAAAAAAGCCATATAAGCATATAGAAACTAAATGTCTTTTAATTATTCTTTAGTTACTCATCTTTATGAGAAAGAGTAAAAATCAAGTGAAGTATCTACACTGAAAGGAAGTTATCTATCTAACCTACACTGTAAACACAGGTTGTAGAGTTGTACAGCTGTAGAGAATGTGAGATGGACAAGCGGCATCTGGTTTCTCTGGGTCAGGGCTGAGGAGAAAGCTTCATAAAGGAGATGGAGCCTGGAAAAGGGGGAAGGAGGAATTAGTCCTAAGGGAGGAGTAGTTCATTTTTTCATACAGTGGGAAAATAGGCCTGGATTCAGCTGTCAGGCTTACCAAGGACGTGATCCGAGATAGATCATTTCTCTGAGCCTCAGTCTCCTGCTCTATGAAATGGGAATGATGATACCCTATCTTCCAAGGTCCTAGTAAGGATCCAGTAAGATGAGAGGGGAAGGGTGTGGCCCGCAGAGCTTCAGATCTGTTCAATTCTGGTTCAAACCCTTGCTGAGATTTTGCCTTTGTACTCTAGGTATCTACAGTTTAACAAGATCCCCAGGTGATTCTTACAGACCCCAGCTAATTCTTATGGGGATCTCCTGGGGTTCTGATTAAACTATAGATTCTGATTCATTATATTTGGGGTAGAAAGGCAAATTCTCAGTAGATCAAGCAAGAATGAACTGGTTGGAAGCCCTGGTGGCCCAGTGCTTGGCACACAGTGAGCACTCTTCCTGTGGTGTCCTGCTTTCCTTCCTGTGACTCCAGACTCTTTTCCTCCTCTGGATATGGCGTTCCCCTTTGGTGTCCTGAACTGAACTCAGTGCCCCTGTTGAGGCCTGAATCATGCTGATATCTGTTGGAGCTGCTTGTGAGGGAAGGCAAATCCATAACTGGTGGTATACAAGGTCAGAGGAAGGGGTGGCCATCAAGGAATGGGCCATTATCTACAGGGAGCAACCAAGCAAAAGGAGAAGAGTCTGGATCCTACATCTCCTGGGCCTTGAGCTGAGTATTTGAAGCCACCAGGGTGAAGGGAGGCAGGCACGAGCTACACAAACCAAAGGCAGTGCCAGGACTGCTGGCTGGGGACAGAACACAGCGGTGAGTGAAAGTGAGGAAGGGACAGAACACAGCGGTGAGTGAAAGTGAGGAACCACCTATTCTTTCCTTGGAATGAGACTAGTGAGCCACAAGGTACAAGGAAGGATGGGATGGAGCAGAGATGAGAAAAGCACAGAGGCTGGATCATGCCAGATGTATCTGAGGAGAAGCACAGAGGGGAGCAGGACTGGAAGAGAGAAGAAGGGTAGATAGATGAGCAAAGGTGCTGACAGGAGAGGGGACTGGCTACAGGCCAGGCAGTGGGAAAGCATGTGTGAAATCTTTCAGCCCAGGCATTTGCAAGAGTAACAGAGGCTGTGGGATCAATGGATGGAGGGTGATGAATTCTAACAAGCTTTCCCCTTTCAGGAAGATGGATCTGTTTCGGTCCTGGTCCAAAGAGAAACTCTGGAAGCTGGTCACTATGGGGAAGGTAGAGAAGTTCTCTTTCGGCCAGGTGATCTCAAAAGACTTTGTAGAGTCTGCCACTGTTATGTTTGTCTGCAAGGTGAGATGTCTGGTGGGGAGGGAGGGAAGCTAGGGAGATCAAACCTAGTAAGGTGGCACAATGGTGAAGGGAATTCAGCTACTAACCAAATAGTTGGTGGTTCAAACCCAGCAGTTTCTCCATGGGAGAAAGATGAGGCAGTCTGTTTCCATAAAGATTTACAGCCTTGGAAACCCTATAGGGCAGTTCTGCTCTGTCCTGTAGGGTCGCTAGGAGTCAGAATTGACTCAGTGACAGTGGGTTTGGTTTTATACATATAGAATAATTGCTCAGAATAAACCTTGTTTGAATTTATTAAAATTTGATTATTTTTAACACTATAAAGCACAAAAGACACACTTTGGCCTGCCTCCTTCATAGGGTTGCTCTGTATTTAAAGATACGTAGTTATATATTACAAACAGGATCCTGCAGTTCCTGCTCTAGGAGCTCATATACATGCTTATTTACATACAGATGCAGATTTAAATTGTATATTTGGCTCTTGAGTCTTATTGATGCCAGATCACTTTAAAAAAAAAAAAAGTATAAATATTGTAAAAGTGATGTGACCACATTATAAAACTTTCTGCTTTAACAATCTGGCAACTCATTAGAAATGCAGATTCTGAGGCCTACAATGTCCTATCAAATCCAAAACTCTAGGAGCAGGGTTCAATACTTCCCTCCAGGGACTCTGATGTGCACTAAGTTGTTGGAGAATCCCTGATCAAGGAAAGAGTCTTCAACGGGAAGCATAAAAAACATCTCAGATGCTTCTTCAAAAGGCAGATTCCTGGCTCACCCTAAGGATTCTGGTTCCTCCACTCTGAGATCTGCATTTCATTAAGTGTCCCTGGTGATTCTAAAGCAGAAGTACTCAGACTTCCTTTTGAAAAAAAAAAAAAAAAAATGCAGATGTCACAAAGTGGCAGCTGGTAATGGCCCTCAACCAGCCTGTAGATGGGTTGGGTTTGTCCCTGATTTAATAGTTACTGTGAAGATTTTTACATGCAAGTTCAGATTTCTGGCTTCTTTTGAAAATTTGGAAGATCAGACAACACCAGGTTACATTCTGGCATAGTCCACTCTGGCTGGAGCTCATGAGCACCAGCCCCCTCTAAGGGACTGCTTTTTTTTTTTTTTCCTTCTCTTGTAGCTTAGTGCCTAAGGCACTTGACTTCTAACCAGAAGGCTGGCGGTTCAAACTCCTCGGAAGGAAGATGGGGCAATCTACTTCCGTAGTGATACTGCCTTGGAAACCCAAGGAGGGGTCGCTGAGTCAGGTCCAACTCGATGGCACATAACAACAACTCATATTTATTTTCTTCCTAGCCAGAGCCTTTGAGGGAGCTCTGGTAGCGTAGTCTAAGGCATTTGACTGCTAACCAGAAAGCTGGCAGTTCAAACCCACCAGCCACTCCTCGAAAGGAAGATGGGGCAATCTACTTCCATAGCGATACCGCCTCGGAAACCCAAGGAGGGGTCACTACGAGTCAGATCTGACTCAACAGCAGTGAGTTAAGTTAGAGAGCCTTTGAGCTGCCCTTTGGTAATGAGGCTAGTCTGTCCTGACTTCTGTACTTTACTCACATTAACACTAGAGGGCGAAATTAGCAGCAGGTGGGGCAAAACCCAATGCTGTGGAGTTGATTCTGGCTCATATAGACTCAATGGGATAGAATAGAACTCTCCCATAAGAATTTCAAGGCTGTAAATCTTTATAGAAGCAGCCTGCCACATCTTTCTCCTTTGGAGTGGCAGCTGAGAGCCTAACCATTGTGCCATCAGTGCTATTTCAGGGCTTCCTTAGGACCCTGAAATTGGAAAATATGATTTCCTGTTGACATCACAAACAAATAATGTCCATAATCAGTTCATTTTGAACAGTTAATCTTTTGGGGACAGTATGGTAAAACTGTTTTCTCCACAGATACAAATATAGTTAAAAACCTATTAGAGATATTCCAAGAGTAAACTGTTTGCCTGTGTCTCTCTAGCGCCTGCCACAGTTCCTAGTCGATAAATAAATATTTGTTGAATGAATTTGAATAAAGCTCCAAACACAATGCTTGGCACATAATAAGGACTTATTAAGTGGGCATTCTTTTCTCTTTTCCCTTCTCTTCAACAGTAATCTGCCTTGAGTTCTAACCCTTTATAATGTGTCTCTTAGAGCTTCCCCTGAAGAAAGGCAAGATTTTATAAAGATATGAAATCAAAAAGAAAAATTATCTTTCTTTCCTATTCCATTAACAAAGATTGAAAAGATTGTGAAAATCCAGTGTTGGCAAGGAAATATTCTAACAGGTCCTGTTTTACACTGTTACAGAGTGTAAATTTACATCACATTTCTGGAGGGCAGTTTGGCAGTTTGTATCAAAATTTAAGACATTCATATCTCTAGGAATTAATCCCAAAGAGATAATCAAACATGGGTATATGTTAGGATAAACTAGGTTATACTGTAATGATAAACAGTTCTCAAATCTCACACTATTTGATCATAGCACCTGAGCAAAGGGACTTTTGTTCCTGTGGTCACTGAGAGACCAAGGCCACTAAAGACTGTCTTGACCTGTGCTTCCATGATCAGGAGGAGAGGAGAGATGGCAAATCAAACAACAGCTTTTAAAGCTTCTGTCCAGGGTGTTGCAAGTCATTTTGCTAATATTTCATTGGCTAACGCAAGTTAGAAGGCCATGCCCTAATTTAAAGGGTGGAAAAGGAAAATCCTGCCAATGTGCTTAGGAGGAGAACTTGAACATTTGTGAACTATAGGCACTTGGATGTATGTACAAGACCATTAGATAGCAATACTCTCTGCTGTAGGTCCCAGAAAACCAACTGCAGTGGCTTAATGAATAGTGACTTCTTTTCTCATAGAATAAGGAGTCTAGAATTGAGCGGCCAGGGCTAGAAGTCATCAAGAACACAGGCCCTTTCTGGCTTCTTCACTCATCATCCGTAGCGTCTGGATTTCATTCTAATGGTTGAAATATGGCTGTTCTACCTCCAACCATCATGGCTGAGTTTCAGACAGAGGGAAGGGAGAAGGACAACAAAATTTCCCTGGGAGTTTAATCCAGCAATCTTCCATTTATATGTCATTAGACAGAACTGAGTCACTGCCACCCTACTGCAGGACAGTGTGGGGAAGGTAGTGAGTTTTTTTGATTAGGGACTTTGTTGTCCTGAAAAAATCAGAGTTATACTGACAAATTAGAAACAGCTAAGTGTTAATCTTGAAAAAAGTTGTATTGAGGTATAACATATAGGTAGTAAAGAACTCAAATCTAAACTTTACAGCTTGATGTATTTTGACATCTATATAAACTGTATAACCATCACCCAAATCAAGATAAAACACATTTCCAGCACCTCAGAGGCTCCCTTTTGCCCCTTCCCAGACAAAATCCACCCCTAGGCACAAAGGTAATCACTGTTCTGTCTTTTGTCACTACAATTACTTTTACCTGGTCCTGAACTTCATATGAGATGCATCATGTAGTATGTGGTCTTTCTGTCTGACTTCTTTTGATCAAGTGAATATTTATTTTTAATTTTAGATAAATTATGGTATAGAATACTGTGCAATTATTTAAAACTATTAAATAGAGCTACATTATTTGACATGAAAAGATGTCCTTGGTATATTATTGAATTTAAAAGTTTATGAGTCTGTTTTACATAAAGGGACTCATTTATGAAAAAATATATATACTGTATATACATTTTATATGTTCATAGAGAAGAGTTTGAAATAATACTACATGTTGCTACCAGTTATTTTAGTATATTATGCTTATTATAATTTTAGTGTTCTCTGTTTTCTTTTGTTTGGTTTGAATATTTTCTAGCTTTTAATTTTGGGAAATTCCAAACTTATAGAAGAGTTGCAAAGATATTACAAATAATTCCAGTATAAATGTAGCCCTGATTCACCAATTATTAACATTTACCACATTTGCTTTAATATATGTATTTTCTTCTGCTGGAATCATTTGAGATTAAGTAACATCCATCATACAAATTTACTTCTATATATTTAAGTAATTAAAGAAACTCTGGTGGTGTAGTGGTTAAGGCATTTAGCTACTAACCAAAAAGGGTCAGTGGTTCGAGTCCACTAGCTGCTCCATAGAAGAAAAATAAGGCAGTCTGCTTCCATAAAGATTTACAGCCTTGGAAACCCTATGAGTCAGAATTGGCTTGATGCCCATGAGTTTGGTTTGGTTTGGGTGAAGTAATTATTTTCTAAGATCAGAAATTAACCACCGAATAATGATCAAAATCAGGAAATTTAACATCAATATAATATATATATATAGTCCAAAATCAATTTCACCCATTGTCCCAATAATGATCCCAATGGTGATCCGCCCCCTCCAGTAATAGCATTGTATTTAGTTCTCGTGTTTCTTTAGTTCTCTAGTGTTGCAGTGATTAAGCTCTCAGCTGCTAACCCAAAAAGTTGGTTCAAACCCAGCAGTCTGTAGAGTCTGACTGTGAATCAGAATCAACTTGATGGCAACAGGCTTGACTTTGGGGTTTGGTTTTCGTTAGCTATTTGAATTTATTAAGATAGTAGATAACACTTTGACAATGGGAAAACAAAGAACCTAAAACCACTTTAATTAAGTAAAACAAAGTGGGATAAGATGTAATAAAGAGTTTATCTTCAAAGCCTAGAAACCTGGAGCCTCTGGGATTAATCCTTTTTTGTGTGTTCCTTGATGTGTCAGGGCAGCTGTGAAGTCCTGAGGCTGATCGACCTTGGAAACTCCCCTTCATACTACAAGTGGATCTGGCAGCATCTGGAGTTCCAGTACAACAAACCTCTGAAGACCCACATCTTTGGTAAGCCACAAGTCCCACCTACAGCTGGCAACATGGCAGGGGTACCTGGTCCTGTCTTGCTTCCAGTTTGCAGCCCAGATTATCTTAGAAATCTAAAGTAAGAGGAACCTGGTAGCATCTATTATTTGATTCCTTCTGCCAGCTGTGGAAACCGGCCACAAGGCCCAGTGAGATTAGGCTCCTGCCCACTCCTCCAGCCTCCTGCTTTTCAGCCTTTTCATCTTCACTCTTCAGGTTCCCCTGTGTGGCCACTTATTCCTTGACTTAGGGCTTTCACAAATTCTTTTTCCCCAGCTCTTTTCTTCTTTCCGATCTTAGATTAAAAGTAGAAGTCTCCCTGATTTCTCGTGCTAGATCAGCATTCTCCATCTCCCATTATATCTCATCCAAGTACCCTGTACTTCTGTGGTATTTTTCTGTGTTGCCATGAAGTTAATTCTGATTCCTGGCGACCCCATGTGCGTCGGAGTGGGACTGTGCACCATAGAGTTTCCAATGACTGATTTTTCAGAAGTAGATTGTAGGCCTTTTTTTCTGAGGAGCCTCTGGGTGGAATTCAGCTGCCAGACTTTTTGTTAGCAGCTGAGTGTGTTAACCATTTGCACCAGCCAGGAATGCTCTGTGGTATTTAACCCCATTGAAATCATATAACTGAATCTGAAATGGTGATTGAGTATCTGTCTTCCGTGCTAGAACATAAACTCTGGAGAGGCTTTGTATTCCCAGTTCTACTACCACACCTGCATCTAGTGGATACTCAAATGCTAATCACTGAATGAATGGAGATCTATTTTTAAATCAGCGTTAAAAAAAAAAACAAAAAAAACTAATCAATTGGAATCTGACTCATAGCAACCCTTCCTTGGGTTTCCAAGACAGTATTTCTATGGAAGTAGACTCCCCAGTCTTCCTTCTGAGGAGTGGCTGGTGGGTTTGAACTACCAGCCTCTGCTTAGCAGTCAAATGCTTTAAGCACTATGCCACCTGAGCTCCCTGAGATATAATTTCATACAATACATACATTTTGAATGTATAGTTTGATGAGTTTTGGCAAATTTAAACCCTATGTAACCACCACTATAATCAAGTTAGAGAGCATTTCTAACAACCTACAAGGTTCACTTGTGCCCCTTCCCAGGCAATCCCCACCGCTTACTCCTTACCCCACTGATCTGCTTTCTAATGCTATAGGTTAATTTTTCCCTAGGATTTAATATAAATGGAATAATACTATACATACATTTTTAGAAATCATAGTAAGATATATATAACAAAAGGTTTGCCATTTTAACCATTTTTAAGTGTAGAATTCACTGACATTAGTTACATTCACCATGTTACGCTACCATCATCGCTATCCATTTCTAAAACTTCTGTCACTCCAGCAGAAACTCAGTACCTCTTCAGCAGTATTACTTTAAACTGTTCCCCAAAACCCCTGGTAACAACTAATGAACTTTTCTGTTGATGCATTTGCCTATTCTAGGTATATAATATATACTCTTTTATTTCTGGCCTTCTTTTATTCAGCATAGTGTTTTTGAGTGGTTTGCTCCTTTTTATTTCTGACAAGTACTCCCTTCAATATCTTTTTAATAACTCTCATAGAGGGCCTATTTTATGCCAGGCACTGTACTAGCATATCACGTACTTTATTTGCAGTTACAACAGGCCTATCAGGGCTCCAAAAGACTATGTGACTTTTCAAGGTTCTATAGCTAGTCTTCCATTTACTGTCTTTTACTGCTGTTCCCCCCATCCCAGTTTGAAGGCCCAGATTCATGTGATCTATTAATGGAAAGATAGGAGCTTTGAATCAAATAGACATGAGTTCATATCCAGGCTTCAGCGCTTTCCTAGTTGACTTAAACTCTTGCTCCTCATCTCATCTCTTAAATGAGGCTACCCACATTTGTCTGAAAGAAACAGACAGAAAGGTGTTAGCACAAGGCTTAGCAGTAAGAGACGATACATAGAGACCAAAATGTTTTTCTTATTTATTCCCCTGTGTACCTTCACCAGCCTAGCCAGGCCAGGTATCTACGATGTCTCCACCACCACCACCACCACCACCACCTCATATATGCGAAGACTCATGAATGTGTTTTCCTCTGCTTTCTCTAACAGAACCCTCTCCTATGGAGAGATTTAAGGAATTCCAGATCAAATCATATCCTGTACAGGACTTCAGCTTTTTGAAACTTCTACATCTCCAGAAGGCCTGGGAGCAAAAGGGGACCAACGGCAGTATGAGTCACACCTCAATGACTGATCTTCCAAAGACCTTTGGCTCGAAGATCAAGTAAGCTTAGTTAACTCTTAGCAGAAAGAAGGGTCCAGATTCTGACTGGGAAGGGGAATGTGACTTATAAGGCAGAATGTCAGGGATGCCAAGAAGGCACAGGGGGCAGACACAGGTCAGCCCCAAAGGGTAGGGTGTGAGTATAGGTTTGCCTAGAGAGGTTCTAGGTAGAACCATTTTAGGTGGTTTCTTAATCTACTTCCGTAGTGATACCGCCTCGGAAACCCTAGGAGGGGTCACTATGAGTCGGGTCTGACTTGACAGCACATAACCACCACCACCACCACCACCAATTGGAGCAAGAAGGGGCTAGGTGAACCTTACAGCTCTGAAATTCTGTCTGTCTGTATATCACTGGCTGCTTTTGACTCTGAGCTTCTTCAGAAAATTCTACCTATCTGAAGGAGGTAGTTACAGCATAGTGGATAAGAACCTGGGCTTTGAGGTCAGTCTAACCCAGGTTTAATCCTGGCATGGCTCCTTTTTTAAGCTCTATGTGCTTGGTCAAGGGGTTTGACCTCTCTGAGCCTTAGTTTCCTTAAGTGTAAATCACAGTCTTAAGTCTCAGAGTTGTTATAAGTTAGTGGTTAAATGGGATATAATTATTGCTAATATATGTGGAATACTTCCTCTGTGCCTAGTACACAACTATCTAATTTAATCTTCACAATAACCCTTTAAGTACTACGATTATGACTTCCATTTTTCAAATGAAACCAAGGTACGGTGAGAGATTAAGTACTTGCTCAAGGTCACAGAGGTAGAAAGTGAAAGAGCCAGGATTAAAAAATGAGCCGCTTCTTTGTGCTCAGCAGTGTTATCTGGTACAATTATCATGACTTAATATGAGGCAGATGCACATGAAAGGCTGAACTTTTGCCTTTCCTGGAAAGGCTGAGGAGCAGGAAAAGACAACAGTGAGAACCAGTCTAGGGGCAGCTCAATGTTGATGCCAGGGCAGCATGATACCTTCCCATTAAATTTGAAATAAAAATATAATGCTACTAATAGAGGGATCAGTGTCCCAATCCCCACGTTGTCCCAGTGCCTCTTTGCCCATTAACGCTTTCAGGCTGCTTGCCTTCACAGTGAGCAGCCCAGGACTTCTGAGTTGTTTTTCCTCTGGATGGGATATGATTTCCAAGGAATCCAGGGCTTGAAATCCCAACCCCCATTCTTCTGAGCTGGAGACAGAACAGACTTGATGCCCACTGTCTCTGCTCTGACTCAGTAAGGAAGAAGAGACAGGTTAGACCCAGAACAGAAAAATGATGACACTCCCTGCACATGTCCTGATGGGGCAGGAATTAAGGCAAACTTTATATATGTGTTGGGTGAGTCCAGCTATATTCTCAACTGGTAATTAATCCTGTCCCCACTTCTAATCCAAATAGCATAGCTTGCCTCTTCATTCTACCTGGGCAGAGACCAAAGAAAGCATAACAGATTACTTGCGGTAAAATTAACTCCAACGTGAACAATGTACAGGAAGGAAACCTGTTTGTAAAAATGAATGAATCCATGAATTCCACCTCCTCTCTGCTTTCCTGTCAAGAAGAGCCCCAACTTCTGCTGTGTCCCCAGAGGCACAGAACTCACTCTTTTGCAAAATAGTCTGTTGCATTTTCAGACAGCTCTGTTAGAAATTCCTTCCTTATGTTGAGCTTAATTCTGGCAGCCTAGGCTTCTCACCCATCATGTCTGGCTCAGCTGTGTGAGATCTGTCAGCCAACTTCCCCATGTAACAACCCTTCAGTGTTTAAAGGAGCAATAGTTCCTTCCTCTCAAGTCTCCTCCCTACTAAATCTCTCCAATTCCTAACACAGTCAGTCTCTCCCAGGGCTTGATTAAGGGGCTCTGGTGGCATACTGCCTAAGGCATTTGACAGCTAACCAGAAGGCTGGGGGTTCAAGCCCACCAGCCACTCCTCAGAAGGAAGAGTGGCAATCTACTTCTGTAGTGATACTGCTTCAGAAACCCAGAAAGGGGTTGCTATGAGTCAGATCTGACTTGACAAGTGAGGTTTTTCTTTTTCTTTTTTTTTTTTTAAGGAGGCATAGTGCCTAAGGCATTTAACTGTTAGCCAGAAGGTTGGCGGTTCAAACCCGCCAGCCACTCCATGGAAGAAAGACTGGGCAATCTACTTCTGTAAAGATTTATTGCCTCAGAAACCCAAAGGGGGGGTCATTATGAGTCGGAAATGACTCAATGGCAGTGAGTTTGGTTTTTTTTTTTTTAACCTTGTGGGAAGGTGCAGATACCTCAAGGAGGGAAGACTGTGGTATAAGCAATTACAGCAAGGTCACAGGGTGTAAGAGTGAGGGGTGGTTATCAAGGGCCTCATGAACTGACTGTGTTACAGATGAGTTCTCTTTAACAAATTGTCAAATTGCAGATCCAGGCGTGGTCATTTGGTCAAATGTTCTGTGATTGATACCGAGACTGGTCGGCTTGCAAAAGAGGCTGCAGTGGGGACCTACATGAAGATCCACACTGTGGAGCAAGGAGAAATTGTGGTAAGTGTATGCCAAGATACTCTTACTCATGATATATCAAAGACTGGGAGTGTTAAGTAATGAGAGTAAAGGTTAAAAATACAAAATATTTGATGATATTAAAGAATATTACTACTTTTTAAAGCTTTGATCATGGAATTGTGGTTATGTTTTTTAAAAGAGTCCTTATACTTAGGAGCTACATATGGACATATCTACAGATAAAATGATAGGACATCTAGGAATTCCTTTAAAATAATCCAGGCCACATTCCTATTCAATATTGTACTGGAAGTCCTAGCTAGTACAGTAAGAAAATGAAACCTATACAGATTGGGAAGGAAGAAATAAAACTTTCTTTGTTTGCAGACGACATGGCTGTCTTATGTAGAAAACCCAAAAAAATTGACAAAAAAGCTCCTGGAACTAATAAGTGACTATAGCAAAGTCTACATTTTTCCTATTTATTAGCAATAAACAACTGGATTTTGAAATTAAAAACACAATACCATAAATAATAGCACAAAAAAATTAAAATACTTAAGTATAAATCTAAAAAAAATAAATGCACCAGATCTATATGAATAAATATATAAAACTCTAAGAAATCAAAAAAGATCTAAATAAATGGAGATTTATTGCATATTCATGGTTGGAAGACTCAATATTGGTAAGATGTCAGTTCTTCCTAGCTTGATTAATAGGTTCAGTGCAATCCTAACAGAATCCTAGCAAGTTATTTTGTGGATACTCACAAACTGATTCTAAAGTTCACATGGAAAGGTGAATGGATAAACAAACTGTGCTACATCCATACAACAGAATATTATTCAGCAATAAAAAAGAAATGAGCTATCAAGCCACAAAAAAGGCATGGAGAAACCTTACATGAATATTGCAAAGTAAAAGAAGCTGGTATAGAAAAGCTAGGTATTATATGATTACAATATATGATATTCTGGAAAAGACAAAACTATAGAGACAATACAATGATCAGTGGTTGCCAGGGTTTGGGGTTCAGGGGTTGGGAGGAATAGGTGAAGCACAGGGGACTTCTAGGAGCATAAAATGATTCTATCCACCACAATGGTGAATACAAGACATGCATTTGTCAAAACCCATAAAACTTTACAGCACAAAGGACAAACCTTAATGTATGTGATTTTTAAAAATAAATTAATTAATCATTTAGGAGGTTGGGGTATCCCAGGAAGGAATGAAGACTGTGGCAAGAGAATCTCCCTGTAATACAAATGCATGGAACAACCTCACTGAAGGGGAAAAGAAAAAGGATGCTAGCCTAAGTAACTTTAAGAATGAGTCGAGTCTGTAAGAAAGAGCTCTGGTAGTGTAGTGCCTAAGGCATTTGACTGCTGACTGGAAGGTTGGCAATTCAAACCCACCAGCCACTCTGCAGAAGGAAGATGAGGCAATCTACTTCCATAAAGATTTACCACCTTGGAAATCCAGCGGGGGTCACTATGAGTTGAAATCAACTTGACAGCAGTGGGTTTTTTTTTTCAGTCTGTAGGATTAAAGGCAAAGGAGATGGTACATAAGCATTATGCTCTGGTTGATCAAACTGCTCCCACAGTGCATACACGTTAACAATTCTGATACTGCTATACATGTATACTGGATCAAAACAATTAAATAGATGAATGACAGATAGTGGGAACCAGATTTCTCACTCTTTGGAGTATAAATTTACAGATAAACAAGGGAAGGAGGGTAGAATGATCCATATGGTAATGGATTAGAGTTGGAGACATCAGTATGAACTCACATTTAGCTTAACATAGAGATAGTTACATATAGAAATCTTTGTGGATATGTGTATATGTACAAGTTAGAATTAACACATGTCTTTTTTGCTCTATCAGCTAACAGGGTCTAAAACAAATGACATCCCCATAGCAATGAGCACACTTAGTTCCTGGATCTTGGCTTCTAATACCATTTTTCAATAAAAGAAACCAGAGTTCCTTGGAGAAATAGCTAGTGCCTGTATCATTTAGTGTGCCAAAAAGTAAGGAAGTGCTCAAAAAAATTAATTACAAACAATAATAAAATAAAAACCCTATATTGATGGAGGTATGTCAAAAGGACAAAGAGCCAACTGAAATAGCTCCCAATGGCCAAAGCTGGAGCAAATTTGAGTAACAAAATAAATAAACTAATATATCTAAAGTATAAAATATCAGTGAGTCCATACTGATATAAGTAAAAAAAAAAATTTCAGGGTGAGACAGTACCATTTATTTATTGGACAAGGCAAGGTCATTTAAAGAGAGGAAACATATCCAAAAAATATGCTTGGTGTTAGAGGCACTGATGCTCATAGTAAACACCAATAAATAAAATAAGCACTACTCACTACATCATGGAAACAGACCACAGAGAACCAGGAAGATACTGTCATGCCACTCAAAAAATATGCCACAATGCTTAGGAAACAATAATAAGGAAGTTACAGTTTCGGTCTCAAATGAACCTAGGTACATTTTCATCAGGTGAACCATTAGTCTAGTTCCCTAAATATTTAAGAAGTGAGTCCTCCTCTATTCTAGAGTTCCTTGAATAGTATATACCTGAATAGTAAGTACATCACTAACTCAAAAAAAAACCTCACTGCCATTGAGTCGGTCCTGACTCATAGTGACCCCTCCTTGGGTTTCTGAGGTGGTATCTCTACGGAAGTAGATTGCCCAGTCTTCCTTCCAAGGAGTGGCTGGTGGGTTTGAACTGCCAGTCTTCTGGTTAACAGTCAAATGCCTTTGGCACTGCACCACCAGAGCTCCCAAGTATCACTGAAGCCATAGTTAACTACAGGCTTAACTAGCTCACATTGTTACATTTTTAGACTACCCCAGGTAGTAATGAACCACCTCAGGGTACTGTAAATTTAATTCTGTACTTGATTCATTTAGCAGTTACTCTGTGCCCAGTTCACCTTCAGTCCCATGATACATACTTAAAAAGACAGCAGAAATTCAATGGAAGGCATTAAAAAAAAATTGTTTTACAGGCTCACCTGGCTCAAGGTATAAAGCTGCTAGCAAAATCAGACCTACCTGAAAACTGCTATGTCAATTATTAGCCAAATTATTTGGCATCATTTTTACCAATAATACATTCCTGAATTGCCAGGGGAAGACTTTAATATCCATTTCAGAGATTGGCCAAAATATTTTATCATGAATGCTTGTCTATGAGGAAAAATATAAGATTTACTGAGAAAACTGTTAGGCAGTAACAGTTTTCTGATCTACTGATTTACCAACTACTTCCTTTCACAGCAGTAACAGTTCTCAAGATGAGAAAAACTTCTCACTCCTCATACAGTAAAACCCTATTTGGGATGCAAATCACAAAAGACTACATATATTATATTAATCCACAGGTGAATCTCTAGGGACCAAAGGTAGATCAGAGGTTCCCTAAGGCTGGGGAGTGGTGGTCTTGGGAAAGGGGAGATAACTGGTAATGGGTATGAGGTGATGAAAATATTCTAAAATTGATGGTGGTTGCACAACAGTAAATGCATTAAAAATCACTTAATTGTATACTTTAAATGGGTGCACTGTAAAGTATGTGAATCATATCTCAATAAAGTTACCAAAAAAATTAAGGAAAGGAAACAGTCCCAAAAAAGACAAAAACAAGGGGCTCTTCCAAATCAAGTCATACTTGAAGAAGAGGTAGACAAGCCTGACTTAAGAACCTTGGCTCTTTATCTCTAGAATTTATAGAAAACTCCAACACCTCAATAACAAAAAGACAAACAATCCAATTAAAAAATGGGCAGAAGACATGAATAGACACTT